GTTTAGAAGAGGAAGTGATGAGAAGATAAGTTTATTTTCTATTTAAACATAAAAACAGCATTTTAAAAGCAGCTAAAGGTGACATAGATACTTTATTATGGTATAGTATTTAAATATATGCCTGAGAAACACATAATATGGCCCCTTTAAATACAAAACTACACTTCAGAGAAAAAAGAAGTATGGCTTGTTTGAAAAGGGTTTGGAGAAAACCTCTTCTCAAAAAAATATTTTTTTGTTTGTTTGGTTAAAAATCCAAATCAATTCAAACACCTCAAATCAACTGTCAAGCACGGTGGTGGTATGGCAATGATATGGKCTATCAAAAGGTAATACATTATGTTTCAGTGATTATTATTAACACATAAGATGAACTGGTCAAAAACAGGATTAACATCTTTTCAAGGACTCTGTGTTTGCTGTAAACAAACAAAATAAATTATAAACCCAGGTYGAACATTAACCTTAATTGATTTGAATGTTTTTGCAGGTTCATTAAGAGAGATAAAATAAGTTTGATGCAGAATCTGCAATTTCTCAGCCTCAGTTATAAAACTTGATTTATTCATTTATTTTTTGGACCCTGCAGATCGATTTGTTTGTAAAGTAAGAGTCCGCTCGCCTCTCGGCCTCCTCTGCTGATCTTTAACACCGGTGATGACTGCAGGGGTCAGCAGAGGCTCCCGGGTCACATCGCTTCAGGAACCAATTTATTAACCTGAAGGCTTTATTTCACTCCCGGGAGWYGGACGAAATGTGTCTCATTTCAATCGATATTTGTCCAACTCAAGCAAAACAGAAAAGATAAAGGACAGTTAGAATAAATCGTTGTGGAGAATGAAGCACCTTCTATTTTCAGTTGCACTCAGAAACAGTTTAGAAACAATATGTCATTCCAGCCTGTGTGATTTGTRATTACCATACAAAATAACAGAAGGRTGAATCTTTCATRGCTGCTGATGGAAGCCCCCTAGTGGTAGAACTCATGGAAATGCAACATTTAGTTCAATAATCCTCCACATAAACTAAAGGTCAGTTTAACAGTGGTATTTACAAGTACTTTGTTGTTGTACTCAAGTACATTTTTCATGTATCTGTACTTGACTTAAATAGATTTCATCATGTGTACTTTTGACTTTTACTCCACTACATTTTACATTAAGTGTCTGTACTTTCTACTCTACTACATGTCTGTAATGTGTTGAATTACAAATTATATTCATGTCACATCGCATTTTCTTTTTCTTTTTTTTTTCTTTAGTTTGAAAGTAATCAGTGGCGAGATGGGAATTGCTGTAATTGGTTAATTGAACCAGGAAAGTACCTTCAAGAAAAAGTGAAGCGATTCTGCATCACCTGCTGGAGCATCATCATCATCAGCAGCAGCAGCAGCATCAGCACACCCAAAATGGATTCCACCACAGAGGAAATGCGCCACTCATGGCCTTATTTAAAAGACTTCTTCAAGTGAACTGGTTCAAAAAAAC